AATTAAACTTTATATATAGTTAACTTTTATAATATAAAAAAACTATGTTTTAAATATGCTTAATGTTACACATGATTTACTTATTATTAACTTTTATAATCAATTTATATGTTTACAATATCAAATAATACATAAATACAAAACTTAAAAGATATAAATATAATTAACATTTATATTTAATTCTAACATAATCTAAAAAAATATAAAACTAGCTAATTTATTTAAAATTTTCTTCAATTAAAATATAATATTTAAATTCATCTTTGTTAAATTTCTTATATATTACTATACAAGTATAAATAAAAATATAAAAAAAGTTAAGTTTTTTTTTTTTAACTATACCATTACAATATGAAATAAATTAACATTATTGAAATAAATAAATTTAAATAAAGTATAATATAATACTTAAAATAATTTATTTTTGTTGGCATAAAATTTATATCATTATACTAAAAAATGTTTCTATCATAAATTTGTACATTTTTTTATCATATTTCATTATAAAATTTTATGAGTAAAAAAATTAATATTGTTCAAAAAAATTTAATCATATTTCACAAAAATGTACTGAATAATAAAATAATAAATTTGACAAATATTCAATTCATAAAATATAAAATATAAAATTATAATAATAACTAATAAATATATATCATAATTAATCCTAAATTTAGACACTAAACAAAATATATAAACAATGAAAATATTTCTTTGTTTCTACACATTAAGTAATTAGTTAAATATACAATACTGAACAAAATAATTTTAAAATAATAAAAATCACAATCATAAATATTTCATTATTCATATTTGAATTATAAGTTAACAATCGTTATGAAATAAATTAAAATTTAAAATTTAAAATCTATAACTAACCTTGAATGAAAATATAATCGGGAAACAACAACTTACTAGATTAGATTAAATCAACCTGCAAAATAAATTTAGAATATATATATATATATAAATAGAGAGAGAGAAAAAAGTTCAAACGATACCAGTGTAACTTTTACTAAGTATTACATTGTTCAATAACTTTATATTAAATGTGAATTTTATAAATTCAACCATTAGATTAAAAGTTCTTTACTCTTAGATCATATATACAAAATTTATATTTATACAAGATGATTTGATACTCCATTCTTATAAAATAATATTGACGTAATATATACATTTTAAAATATAATAAAATATGAACACTTTGATTACCTTCATATATATATATATATATATATATATATATATATATATTAAAAATAAATAAAATCACATAGGAAAAACAACAAAAAAAAGTAATCTAACAACTAAAAATAAAAAACACATAAATGGAAATAAATATACCAATTAATTAGAGAAACAACCAACAAGATGAAATACTTGATAAACTATGAAGGAGATAAAATTTAAGGTAAAATTATCAGAAGAAGAAGAAGAACACCACAATAGTAACAAGAAGATTTTTTTAAAAAACCCTCAAGAGGAAGAACAAAATATGAAGTAGAATAAAAGATTCAAATGAAGAAGAAGAGAAGGACACACTAACAACAAAATAATTTTTTTTTCAAGTGCCAAAAACAAGAAAATATGAGCCAACAAGTAAAAGTAGATAAAGAAAGGTGTGAGTATTATATAGAAAGAAGGGAAGAAAAGAAGGAGGTGCATTTTTGAATTTCAAATGCAAACTCCCTGTGTGCTTGCAACACTCCTGCAATATGCAAACACCACACTAGATGGGATGGGTGAGACACATGCTTGAAGCATGGTTGAAGAACAAGTGAATGAATAGTACATGTGCCCCTTAGGCATCATTTTTTTTTTAAAAGTGAAAAATGACACATTGCACCAGCCCCTATGCATTCTTGAAACAGTTGTTTCAATAGAAAGCGTCCAATCCCCCTCTACAATATTAAAGAAATAAATTAATAACGCGGTTATCCCTCTATGCGTTTTGTGTACAATCATTCCAACAAGTTATGCCTAGGGGTCATGTGTTTTATGTTATTTTTTGTTCCCACACATTAAGTGCACCCTTGGAGGAATTTTGTTTACAATATTGTCTATGTGGCAAAAAAAAATTATTTTAGTAATTAGTTTTTTAAATAATTTATTTTTTTTGTATTTTGTTATATTTTTTTTATTTATTTTGGTCAAAAATCCCTTTTATTTGTGGTTTTGGAGTTAATCTTGGGGGAGGCCTGTTATAGAAGCTGAATTAAAAGGTATTTTTTTTTTGCCTTAAATTGGCTTGGCCAAGAGGCTTTAGGAAGATAAGGGTGGATTTAGATTAGCAAGTTGCTATTACATTAGTCTCAAGAGGTTGTTGCATGTTGCACCCATACCACAATCTTGTTAATGAAATACATTTTATTCATTCATATCAAGGAAACATAACTTGGAATCATATCTTTCGTGAAGCGAATCTGTAACGTTGTTAGTAGACTGGAACGAGACGTTCCCAAATTGGAACGAACCATTCCAAACTACTAAAACGAGGGTGATTTAGTAGCCTAGAACGGGGTCGTTCCCAAACTGGCTTGGCCCGTTCCAAAGTAATAAATAGGCCTATAAACCCTAGTTGGGAACGAGTTGTTCCAAACATGGCCGTTATGGGTTAAAATGAAACTCTAGAACAGGCCGTTCTGGTTTGAGAACGGGTCATTTTGCTTGTGAATTTTACACATGACATTTGAGTCTAGAACGGGCCGTTCCAAATTTGAAACGGACCGTTCTAGCCACTCCATATTTTTATAATTAGGTCACATGCATGCAGTTGAGGAGAAGAGAAGAAGGGGAACTTAGAGGGAAGTTTTAGAGAGAAGGACTCTGGGCTAGGAAGCTTGATTTTGAAGGATTGAAGTTCGGGAGTTGAGCTCGGTGGAAAGTTTTTCTTATTCCCAAATTCTTGGTTGTTCGGAGCTAGTCTTCAGGTAAGGGAAGCTAGATTATAGATTTATTGGTTGTATGTGAGTTGAGAACTCATTTAGTGCATGAATGTTGAGGAATCAGTGGTTGGATTGATGAACATCTCATTTTTTGGGGTTTTGGGAAAAATGGGGTTTTTGATGATTTTGATGCCCTGAAAAGTTGCATGTTGAATCTGAGTAATTTTTGAGTTGTATGAAGTCTATGCATTTCATTTCATGGATTGCATGTTGTTGAAGTTGCTGATTTTCAGGTTTTGGGTGCTTAGGTTGATTGGTGTTGTTTGGGCGTGTAAGTTGGCATGATAGATGGGTTGTAAACATGTAGTATGAGTTGTGTTATGTGATGAAAATGTTGTGTGTTGATAATATATGATTAAATATTTATTAATGATGTTGTTGGTGATGCTTTTGTGATGCAGATGGGATGAGATGTATGTTGTAGTTGATTTGTGAAGTTGTGTAATTGTGTATGGGTGTTAAATGAGTTGTTGTGTTAAATAGAAATGTGTTGAATATGTGTTATGTTATTAAAGTTGATATATGTTATGTGTGGACTATTTTTGCGAAACATAATGAGACGATCTAGTTGAGAGTTGTGAAGTGCATGATGATAATATTGTGAGTTGTGAGAAGCAAGATGTGAAGTGTGTAGATGTGTTGAGATTTATATAGAATTTATTAGTATATTGTGTTGCTAAGTTGTTAGAGGAAAGTTGTATGTTGCTAAAAAGTTGTAGGTTGTGCCATGTGTTGAAAAGATATAACTTTATGATGATTGAGCTGTAAATTCTGAGTTGAGCTAATAAGCTGTTGAGTTGACTGTGTTGTTTAAAGTTGAAATGAGTTGATAATTGAGATGATGAGATGAAACCTGTGTTGATTGTGATGACGAGTTGTTGATCACTAGGACTAGGGGAGATGTTTTCAAAGTTACTCATCTCATTGTGTGGATTAAAAGTGTTGTGTGCTCTAAGAGCCCAAATTGTTGAAAAACCCTCCTTGGGAAGTTTTCCCTTAGGGTGGACGTTGTGTTGTTCTCCTCTAGTAGTTGATCCCGTGTGTGGGCAAGGTCGAGACACACGTGTATGAAGCGACCACGGTATAGGGGTCAGGTCGAGCTATACCGATTACAAGCAGCCAAACTTGAGTAAAGTACGAAGTCAGGAACTTAGTTCCTAACCGAGTATTGGAGGGTTGTAGTATTTAGAGGATAGTCAGTAGGCTAATTCCATAGGTGGCTTAGTTGAGCTAGCTAATGTCGTGGTAAGCCTAAAGCCAGTTCTTCTATCTTGACAAAATACTATACTTCCTTGTTTAAGTGGCAAAGTCTGAGAAACCGTTATCATATTGTGGATTGATATCCAAATTTGTTGTTTACCTAGCAAGCCCAAAAAGGTTCTGTGTTGTCAGTTCGGTAGGACCTAGCCACTTAGCCTGCTTAACCTCAGTTGTAGGAGATCTCCAAGTTGAAATGCGTGACGACGTATATGTGTTGATAAGTTGATATTGTGATGATATGAGTTGTATGTGTTGATGTGATGTGAAGGTGTTATTGAGATGTGTGTTGTTAAAGTGTTGTGCGTTGTATGTTGAACAAGTTGATGATGATGCTAGCGTCACTAGATTACCTGTGTTCTAAGTTGCTTTTAAACACGTGTTTGTTGAGAGGTGTGTAATACACGTGTTGGTTGTTGTTATGATGAATATGTTAACTATTCTAATTGTTTGTACAGTAGTTATGTTTAAGTATTGGTCAGTGTTGATATGTTGAATCAAGTTAGTATATGTGTTGTTTGCCTTCTATGTCGGATGTGAAGATGATTATATAGTTGTTGTGTTGCATATTTAATTACTATGAGTCATTTATTGTCTCTAGCTTGCCCTTACATGTTTCCATGTGGTTTGGACTATGATGATCATACGATGATGTATGGGAGCAGGGCAGGGATAGGCTGGAAGATAGCTGCTAGAAGCCACAGGAGGTGCCTAGAGTTGGTTTTTTTTTTGTAGGCTACCTTATAGTAGCATATTTTGTTGTATATAGTTGATTGTTGTTGGTTGCTTGAGGCTGTAATGTATCTTCTGGGATCTTGTGTTGGGTTGTGGTAGGGGGTGGAGTGAATTATCTAGGGCTATGGAGTTCATCCAGAGGCGCGTGGAGCCGTGGATCAGGGACCAGGGGGCGAAGCTGTTGGGCCTGAAGGCGTCGTGGGGCCCACTCCAGTGGCGCATGAAGTGGCCCTGGGCTTCCCAGCGCGAGCACAAGAAGCGGATCCAGGAGGAGTACCTCCGCCTCAGGACCCTCTGGCTCGCCCTTAAGGCCGACTCCGTCTCCGATTTGCAGGACCTTCTCTGTTGCATGGTCCTCTCCGAGTGCGTCTACAAGGTATATGATGCTATTCTCTCATCTTTGAATTAACAGATGCTTGTAACAACTTACTCATTAAAGTTTTCATGGAAACTATGCTTGCTTCAATAGTTAGTTAAAATCAACTTGTTACTCACTTTTTTTTGTCACTTTCCTATATCGTAGAGACCTGCTGCTGAGATGATTCGAGCTGTAAATAAATTTAAGGCTGATTTTGGTGGACAAGTTGTTGCTTTGGAGCGGGTGCAACCTTCATCAGATCATGTTCCTCATAGGTTTTCACTTTTCATTCATTCTTTAAACAATTTAGTTATTCCACTGATCTTATATTAATTGCGTAAGTGCTCATATGCCATTAAATATTTTGATATTGGGAGGCTTTTATTCTTTATTAACATTCTCATTGATGCTATAATATGCTTGAATTGTATTTTTGGGGTAAAAGAAGAGGCTATTTGGATCTTTGGATATAAATTGGTTGTATACTTTATTTTTAATAATTGTTTTTGAATTAAGTTGTTCTAGTTTGCTCTTTTTGGTGTTTTTCACAATCTAGCATTTGAATTCCTTGACAGCACAAATTGCCCAGAAGAAATATTTAAATAATTGCAATTACCTTATTGGTTACCAGTTAGTTAGGTTGTTCAATTTTCTCTCAAAATTGAACTGTGCATTGAAGTATTTTGTTTATGTTTCTTCTTTTTAGACTGTAAAAGATTATGTAGTATAGGGTTAAAATTTTATGGACTGTTTTGCTTAGGGTTCTTTTCTTTTATCATACTTATGCAGTGGATGAAATAGAGGAGGGGTTTGGCATTTATTTATAACTTAAAGATATTTGCTCATGATTAAGAGAGAAAGCAAACAAGAATACTTTCAATGTAGCAGGAATTAAATGTTGCATCGGATGAATGAACATACTAGACCACAAGATAGGATTAGGAATAGATGCATTAGAGAAAAAGTTGGGGCATCACCTATTATAGGAAAAGACTTGATTGTTGTTGCTGTTAGTGTCATAAATATCTGATTATGTTGTCACAGGTATTTGTTAGCTGAGGCAGGAGACACTTTATTTGCTTCCTTTATAGGAACAAAACAATACAAGTGAGTTTTTCATATGAATCTTTGTGTCAGCCTTTAAAATCTTTACAACTTAAACAATCTTTACCTTTTTATTTTTCTGAAAGGGATGTAATTGCTGATGCAAACATACTTCAAGGTGCCATCTTTCATGATGATGCTGTTGAGGAATCTGACAAACATGCATCGACTGAATCTGACAAGGATGAAAACCCAAAAGGAAAAGACTATATGTGGAATCCTCTACAATCAAGGTCTAAACAACGGAAATACAAACCTGCAGCTCATAGGGTAAATAAGTGTGTTGTCCAATGTAATATTTTTTTCAGTTAAACTAATTTGTAGTCTGTTGTACATTTTGGAAATCTTTAAATAGGTGTCATAGTTTAAAAGTTATAATTGAGACCCAATTCTTAAAGCTTTTGAATGGGTTCCTTGGATCCAGTCTAATTATTATTGAGAAAATTACATTGAAACCCCTTATGGTGTGTTTGGATGAGGAATTTTATAAATTTAAGGAATTTTAAATTCTTGGTATTTGAATTACTTTGATTTCAATTTCTATCATTCTTAAAATATTTTGTTTGGATAAGTCAATTCAAATTTCTTAAATTTTAAATTGTTATGTTGGATATGATAATTTGATTCTATCATGGTAAAATTGATTTTAAAAATATATTTATATGTTGATATTTTTAAATTAAATTTTATAAAAATAAATATTAGCTAATTTTTAAATATTTAATAAATTTAAAAATTAATATTAGATAATAATAATTTTAAAAATATTTTTGAATATTCAATAATTAAAAACATGAAGAGATAAGAGATTAGATAAAATATATAAGTGAAATAAGAAAAAAAATATAAGGAATTTCGAATTCTACTTTTTTCGGAGAATTTGAAATTATACTATTTTAAGAAATTTCAAAAATGCTTGAATTTCAAATTCTTTATAAATTTTCTATCCAAACAAGGTATTTCAGCTCTAAGAATTTGAAATTCTTCAAACAAATGAATTGTTCCATTTAAATTTTCCATCTAAACATACTATTAAGTTTCATGAAATTACCTAGATACTCCCTACTTTTTCTAGCCTTACAATAACCTCCCTTAATTGTTTAGAAAATATTACACTAGCATCCCTTCTACATTACTTTAACCCCTCTTAATTATTTGAAAAACATTATATTGTGACCTATAAGGAGGCTAGTGTAAACCTTAAAAAAGCATGGGGTTTTAGTGCACTTTTGTAGAACATTAGTGGGTGCCAGTGTAATTTACTCATTATTGTTTTTAAATCTATAGGGATCCATAACAAAACTGTGGGGACTTAATTTGAAAATATTCAGAATGTAAAGGAACCTCTACGTTAATTTAACCATTTTGTCAAATTCTTATAGATTGTTGCTTCTTTATATGTTAATGCTCTTCTCAGAATGACAATTGCATCTTGTGTATACATTTTTCAGCTTACCTATTTGAGTGTTTTAGTTTTGTTAATCAATTCTAGATCCTATCTAGGTTAATTCCTTCTTGTCCTAGCCAATTCTTTCTTCTTTGCTTAACTTTATTGTCTTCTTCTAAACTCTACTCTTGTCTTCCTTAACTCTCAATTTTCCTGGCTGATTGTGTTCTTGATTGTTCTCAAGTGTGACCTAAGTTTTGACCTAGTCTATCTCCATAGAAGCTAGTTCTACAAGGGTCATCAAAAGAGGACTAAGGAAAGGAGGAGGAAGGAACAAAGAGTGCTCTCGGATTTGACTACCAAAACTTCAAATATCAAACACTTGTGGCTGGAAATTTGTGGCTGCTGGACTTACATACATCCGTGGAGATACATTGGAGTTTCATTTGCTTTGTACTTGAATTTTAAAAAAAAAAAGAGTAATTAGTGAAGGATTTAGAGACCAAAATTTTCAAATGAAAACACAAAGTTAAACAAGCATAGCTAAGAATGATGAACAATAAAAGAACTACACATTACTTCTAGACATGATTCAAAAGAAAATTGACTCAAACACACAATGACCGAATAAGATTTCGAATAAGACTCAAACAAATCAAAAAGATCATAGGCAGAAAATTCCTAAAAGCATAAGAGAATGGAGCATGATTCATGAAAAACAATTGAACATAAACGTATCTATGAATCATTCAAGCAACATGACAGCTAGATCCATCAATTTTTAGGCACAATTAGATCTAGGAAAGATTAAACTCAAAAAGTGACAAAAACACAAGGATGAACAAGATGAACCACGGATCAAATAATCAAAAGACAAGAATGATAGGCTTATCTCTTGAAGATTGAAGCTCTAGATACCACTTGATGAGGTTCCACTTGGTGAATCCTCAAGAACACTTCAAATCCTTCTCGGTTCCTTAGGAAGAATGGCAAGGAAGGAAGATCCAAGAAACATCAATATGACCTAGGCCTAACCAAGTGATGGAGGACCATCAAAGGAGGATGTACACTTGAAGGCCATTGGACTTTTGACTAGGTCCATGGTTAGGAAGCTAGAGGAGGCTTCTAAAGAGGAGGTGCTTCTTAGACCTTTGCTCATCATGAGCATTGATTATGGTTCCTCTTATTAGTCTCTTAAGTTTCCATTGTATATACTTGTATAGTTGTATTCTTGTACCTTATATATAGTAGATACTTGTATAGGTGCATTTTTGCCTTTGTATTTGCAAGGCACTTTATTTTCCTTTTTAGTAGCTTTTGTATATGGTTTCTAGGGTAGGTTACTTGGACACTTTGACTCCATTTAACCTAACCTAGAAATACATTCCTTTTTAGTTTTTCTAGTAGGAGTGGCAATAGCAAAATAGAGAGTGTCCTTAGTAAGCTAGAGTGTGCTCCTAGCAATTTAGCCAAAGGTGGTCCTAGGCTAAAATTTTCATATTGGGCTCATTTTACTCCTAATTTTTCATAGATTTGATTTAGCTAGGTTCCATTCACAAATAAGTTAACATATAATGAAAAATACAAGAAAAACTCTTTTTATCTTTATTATTTCAATTGCATTGGTCAAGGTCCTTATTTTCATTATAAAACTCAAACTCATCACCAAGAGTCGATGAATCCCTTCTTAATTAAGAACAATTTAGATAAAAAATTATGAAAGACTTATTTTTCATTATTATAATCTCTATTATAAAACAAGTCTCTAATTTTAATCTCTTTAACGTCCGGATAGTATGAAATAATATTTTCAAGAAACTTTAGAAGATTAACATAAAATTTCCTTCCATCTTTTACAACTCTAAATTAACTTTAGAATATGATTTAATTGTCAAATTCTAATAAGTTAACATGTAATGAAAAATACAAGAAAAACTCTTTTTATCTTTATTATTTCAATTGCATTGGCCAAGGTCCTTATTTTTATTATAAAACTCAAACTCATCACCAAGAGTCGATGAATCCCTTCTTAATTAAGAACAATTTAGATAAAAAATTATGAAAGACTTATTTTTCATTATTATAATCTCTATTATAAAACAAGTCTCTAATTTTAATCTCTTTAACGTCCGGATAGTATGAAATAATATTTTCAAGAAACTTTAGAAGATTAACATAAAATTTCCTTCCATCTTTTACAACTCTAAATTAACTTTAGAATATGATTTAATTGTCAAATTCTAATAAGTTAACATGTAATGAAAAATACAAGAAAAACTCTTTTTATCTTTATTATTTCAATTGCATTGGCCAAGGTCCTTATTTTTATTATAAAACTCAAACTCATCACCAAGACTATGCTTGTTTAACTTTGTGTTTTCATTTTCATCTTAAAAGTTTTTCTGGATTTGGCCGAGATCCTTATTGTTCTTGTGTGCTCATAATTTTGCTTTGAATTGAGTTCATAAACTACTATTAGTTCATTAGTAGTTTTCTTAGATTTTTATGTTTCCTATACTATAAAATGTCTTGAAATTTTTTTCTCTATCCGTGAGTTTGATCTTGTGTGTGACTTTTTTGCTGAAAATTTTTGTTTAAGATTCATTTGAAATTTGAATTTTAGAGCCAAAATTGTGCCATGTGCTAAAAATAAAGCAAGTGTTAAAAGCATGTTATATTTCATCTCATTTTGACCTAATTTGCTTTTCATTTACATCTAATATTTTGAAACAGTTTTGGTGCTTTGGCAAAGTGTGACCGAGAGTGTGTGTTTACAAATTTGCAAAAAGGAAAAAGGCATCTCCTAAGATTAAAAAAAAATAGAACAAAGTTTAAAGGAAAAATACAAAAAGCAAAGTGATTAAAAAAAATAGCTAAACCTAATTGTCAAAAGTAAAAGCCAAACAAGGAGATTGTATTGAAAGTGTTTTAATGCTCTTCTCAGAATGACAATTGCATCTTGTGTATACATTTTTCAGCTTACCTATTTGAGTGTTTTAGTTTTGTTAATCAATTCTAGATCCTATCTAGGTTAATTCCTTCTTGTCCTAGCCAATTCTTTCTTCTTTGCTTAACTTTATTGTCTTCTTCTAAACTCTACTCTTGTCTTCCTTAACTCTCAATTTTCCTGGCTGATTGTGTTCTTGATTGTTCTCAAGTGTGACCTAAGTTTTGACCTAGTCTATCTCCATAGAAGCTAGTTCTACAAGGGTCATCAAAAGAGGACTAAGGAAAGGAGGAGGAAGGAACCTCCATTTTCCATTTTTTTTTTGGCACCAATAAAACAGGCACAACATAAGGGCTTAATCTCTTTCGAACTCAACCCTTATCCAACAAGTCTTGTACTTGCTTCTCTATCTCTTTAGTTTCTTGTGGATTTGTCCTATAAGCTGGTCTATTGGGACGACTAGCTCCTGGTACAAAATATATTTTATGTTTTATAGCTCTAAAAGGTGGAAGATAATTAGGTACATAACTAGGGAATAAATAATAAAATTACAATAAAAGATTTTGAATATCAAGAGGTAGAGAAGTATCTACATGACTTGTGACAATGCATGTGAGTCTCTTACAAATGAGGATATACGAAGATGGTTCAATCAAAAGAGATATTTTTGCCAAAGATTTAGTAAAAAGATTCTCCTTTTGTTGAACTATCTCTAGAGAAGGAACACTAAGCTCTCTAGGATCCTCTTGATTATTAAGTTTTAGGGTTTTTTTTGCTTTCTTTGTTTTTTTCAAACTCTTTTTCTTGGTCACGTTTAGCCTTCATTTGTACTTGATCCTCAGTCACTTGAGATGGTGAAAGAGGATGAAGTACAAACTTTTTACCCTTATGTGTAAAGGTTATCTTGTTAGTAAGGCCATAGGAACTATATCACATTTAACTTTATCTTTATAGTTCCCAATAGAAAACTCTACCTCTACTTGTTGATTAACTACCATATCCCCATCTTTATTGAGCCAATGAAGCTGATAAGGTTTGGGATGGGGTGTGGTAGTTAACCCTAACTTGTCAACCATCCTAGTGGTACAGTAGTTGCACCAAGAGCCAC